CCATTTTCCCCAACAACTCGGTCTGGCTTTCCATCTCCTTCCGCTGCTCACTTATCCCCTGCAACTCCTCCATCCTATCTGCTGCCCCCATTCGTTGCCTCTTCTCTTTGGTGAGGCACAACTCCACTCCAATCTTCTCTCTTCTTCTATTGTTTGGCGGCATAGGGGGTCTTCTTTTGCGTCTAATTCCCTCACCACCGCCTCCTGTTCTGCCCTGGGGACATACATCATCACTTCCTCATCTTCTCCCAGGGACAGATTGGCCACCCACTCTGAATTTTTTTTCTCTATCCATTGATCTTCTTGCTTCATGCCACTGGATTTCGCTCTCTTTCTGGTAACCTTTCTGACCAAGGGAACTTCTTCCTCCACTTCCTCTTCCACTTCTTCTTCTTCTACTGCTTTTAACTTTTCCTCTTCTTCTTTCTGCAACCTCTCCATCTCCTCCTGCAACTTCTTTTTCTTCGCCGCTTGCTCCTCCATTAAGGCCAACTTCTTGGCCTGCTTAATCAACTCTTTCTTGGCCTCTTTCTCTTTTCTCTCTTTCAACACGGCGGCTTCTTGCTCCTCCTGAGCCTTGGTGTACGGGGTGGTGCTCTTACCACTACGCGTGTCAGCCATGGTGACTGGTGCACAATCGAATAAGAGTTCCACTCCTCACCACTTAGACCTCCACCCACTGACTAGCTAACTAAGTAACTGACTCTCTAAGGACCACAGAATCCTCTGGGGATCTTGTCAACTATGGTCTCTAGCCTAGACCTACTACTAAGCTGTCACCGTAGGACTTCAATGCTGATCAGGAGGCATTTAAGGAGATCCCCCATAACTCCTCAGGAATTCTTTAACGTCGCAGACAGGACGACGTGATCAGCAAGTCCTCTCAAGACTTAGACAACTGGTTGTGCAGTCCACAACTCGGATTTTGGGCCAACCATGGCACACTAAGCAGCCCACCGGTCTGTACCGGTCCTTGGGAGGGTTTGTCCTCCGGGACGTGTCAGTCGTCAGACATGGACTTAAGCCCTACTCAGCCCGTGTGGGTTTGGTCAACACAGCTCTATGACCACATTCACGGACTTCCTATCACCTGGACAGAAGAGACTCGATGCACAAAGAAGAGACAGACACACTCGGCAAGTACCATGGGGTGAGTGCACATCCATAGGGCAAGGGGATAGGCTGAAGGCTTGGCGAAAGTATACCAACTCCAGCTTGGTCAAATTCGTGGTCAACAGCTGTGGTCAACGCTGGTCAACGCTTGGTCAACTCTCCGGTCAACACCTTGGTCAACACCAGTCAACACCTCAGTCAACACCTCGGTCAAACCCGGTCAACTTCCCGGTCAGTGCCTCGGTCAACCTGGTCAACTTCCCGGTCAACACTTTGGTCAACGCTCGACTTGGCTATGGCTGCCGACCGCTTTCTCTCTCACCTCTCTCTCTCTCTCTCTCTCTCTCTCTCTCTCTCTCTCTCTCTCTCTCTCTCTCTCTCTCTCTCTCTCTCTCTCTCTCTCTNTCTCTCTCTCTCTCTCTCTCTCTCTCTCTCTCTCTCTCTCTCTCTCTCTCTCTCTCTCTCTCTCTCTCTCTCTCTCTCTCTCTCTCTTCCTTCGTCGTTTTTTCTTTGCAAGTGCGCGATGGCTTCTTCCGCGGCGCAGCTATGGCGGACACTTCTTTTTCAACGGCGCGGCTTCTGCTATGGCGCCAAGCTATGGCGCACTGCTTACGATGATGGCGCTTGAAATAGCGGGAACCAGCTCCGATACCAATGCAATCAGACTCGCTTTCTTCTCACTTCGCATGTATGCAAACAGATGGCAAATCACACTGGCGCTTGGCGCCCACAAGATTCAGACACAAACGTGCTTCAGGTTGGCTAGGCGACTGAGTGCCTTCACTTCACCTAACAATTCAGAGTTCACATCGACTGTTTACACGCACTTAACTCCGGATCTCCCTGGATATCCCACACACACTCACTATCTCACTAAAACACTAACTTCTAACCTATGGCGGCTATGGCCGCTTGCTACTACTGACTATGGACACTGTTTCTCCTTCCTTAGCCCACTTCGACTTCGGACATCTGCAGACCACCTCGCGCAAGTCGCCTAGGCAGCGCTTCCTCATGGCTCACGTAGCAATGAATGAATGAATGGACGCTGCCTCTTGATTTATACTTCGGTTGGCTGCTGGTCTGCTCCTTTCCACCGGGCCCATGGTGCACAGTCCCACATGGTACTTGCTGACTGGACTAAGTGAGACTGGGACCGGTTACCGCTGACTCAGCAAGGGTGAACTTCCCACTTGCCCACTTGCCTCTATCCTAACGTGGGCAAACTCGAAAGGCTACTTCCGCGACCTTCTGGAAGTCTGTGGACTTGGCCTTTCGGGCCTGTAGCAACTACGGCCTTGACCTTTCAGGACTGTAGTGGCTACGACCTTGACCTTTCAGATGTGCAACAGCTACGGATTCTAGACAGCTATGACCCCTATTCGACAGAGCTACGGTTCATGTCCCGATAACTAAACAGACCTATGACAGACAACAGTGCACTACTAACACACAGGTCGCGGGTTCAAACACACAGCGGTCTACTGAGTACTGTACACGGGTTCAGGGTGGTCTAGGGATCGAGCCCTGGGATCTGCATCTGTCACTGCAAAGGTGAAAACCGTTTCAGTAGCTTGCTGAATGGTAGCTTGCTCAATGGTACATATGAAAGGCCTGCCACGATTCAGACCCCAAATTCGAGTTTCAGGGTCAAGGTCTTAGGCCAAGTCGGTCAGTTTCAGAGAAGTCTCAGTCCTAAGGTACCTTAGGAGTCCAGTCCAAGAGGCACCTGAGGTTGGCAAGGGTTGCATTCTATAAGCAAAAGTCACATCTCAGGGGCAAGGTTGCATTCTATAAGCAAAAGTCACATCCCAGAGGCAAAGGTTGCATTTTATAGCACAAGCCAGGTCTGATATTGAAGAGTCATATTGATAAGTCACATCCCACGGGCAAAGGACACTTCCCCAGGCAAAAGTCATGGAGTCGCAGAGGCAGGTGTCACAACCCACAGTCAAAACCATGTGTCAAAATCGAAAAAGTGTGATTCAAAGGCCCAAGCAGCAGCACACCAATGGAAATTCGGGAAAAAGTACTAGGCCCTGACGCTCTGAAGCAAACAGGCCGTGGGGATGTGGTACCGGAACCAAGTCAAGCCCAAGAAGCAGAGGCTGGGACGAGTTGAAGCTCAGTCCAAGGCAATATAAGGACTGGCCAGCCTCCTCATTGGGGCAGATTGCTCATTCACATGAACTCTGGAAGTGCTGGTGCACTTGTGCACTATTGTGAGGGGCGGAGCGCTGAGCCAGGGAGCTGCGCTGTTAGAGGGAGAGAGAGGGAGCAGCCATAGCTGCCCCGGTGCTGGCAGAGCGAAGGCGGCCATAGCTGGGCCAGTGTTTAGTGTTAGTCGTAGAACTCAGAGGGGTTAGTAGAATCAGCAGTGGGTGTATTCAGAGTTGGTCCTTGAGTAGTAGAGGGTGTGAGTGCATACAAGTAGCGAGAGAAGACACAGAGTTTTGGAGACAGAGAGAAGAGCGGTGAGAGAGACTCTTACCTGAATGAAGATACTGGTTACTTGGATCTGCGCTGTCGATCGCTTGTGACTGGAACACTCAATTGCTCATATGATAATTTGTTGGAAGTCTGAAGCTGCACTTACTTGGTCGTCGTCTCTCTGGCCTCCAGTGTGAACTTCGTGTGATCTCATCCGTGCATGGTGTGTGATTGTGTGCGCTCATTGGTGGTGGACTGGGAGGTTCATAGCACATACAACACTGACATACTGTTTTCGAGTGTCTGTCTGGTAGCTTGCTGAATGGATGAAGAGTTCAAAAACTTCAAATCTTGTTACGTCAGGTTCTACATCCGTTGACGGCCTAAGAGTCTGGGAACCTGCATGAAGTCAGGTTTGTGGTTAGGATCCGGACTTCCAGGCAACTGTCCGACACCAGACGGAATGTTCAGGCCTGGCATCCAGATAATGGAGCCCTGTCCGGACCTCTATTGAAATTAAGATCGATATACAGAAAAGCTGTGTTACCAACGGGTCACCTTGATTGCGCGGGCGGCCCGGGCGGGCAAGGGCCAGGGAAGGTCTCTGTTAAAAAAAAAAAAAAAATCTAGAAAATCTGGAAAAATACCATGTTGTGCAGAAAAATAAAATGAACAACTTTTGCCACAGGGTCAGCTCGAAATTCTTTGCCAAATGAATTGAAAATTCAAATGATCTAGAAAAAATAAATAAATAAATAAATTATGTTGCGGCTGACAAGTGGTCCCGGGCCACTCTGGTAATATATAGTGAAAAAGTGAAGAAAAACATGTTACGTTTCTAATGTTTGTAAGAGTACCAAAACCAACTCACCAAGTTATCTAAAGTACAACGAATTGCGGAAAAGAGAGATTTTTTTTTTTCTTTTTCAAAAAGAAATGTTTTGTAGTAGCATTGGAAATACAAACAACTTTTGATTGAGGACGATCCCAGAATTCACAACGGAATTCGAGTTTACAGGTAAAAAAAAACAAAAACTAGAAACGAAAATTTCAGAAAACGACAAAAATTGTGAACCCCTTCGGTCCGGATCAATCCGGTCATCTTGAAGAAAAAGGCATGGTGATAATTTATAAATTTGTACTATTTATAGCCATATCGCCATGCCTTGTGTTTGGCGAGGGATGGGGGCCAGTTGGTTGGTGCCGTTTGGAGGAGAGCACAATTGTTTGCTTCTGTTCAACTCTGTCCTCAGCTAACGCGTGTCAGTTTGCGTGTTTGCCCTTTATCTTCAACTCTGTCCTCAGCTAACGCGTGTCAGTTTGCGTGTTTGCCCTTTATCTTTATCTTCTTTATCTTTATCTTCCAGTGTTACAGTGGGTGCAATTATGTTTTGATGTTGGTTGTGCAGCATTTTGTGCTGAGTTATCTGGTCTGCTCTGTAACTTGGGGCATGCAGCAAGAGAACAAGCAGTGAAGGAGCATATCTGGTGGATGCTGTGTCAACACTTGTAGGAGTGGTAGGTCCTCTTTGTTTCTGTGCTCTGCTTGCAAGTAAGCCTTGTTGACTTTGAAAATTTGTAATTACTAATTAGTAATTACCCTTTACCCTTGAGTCTTGAGTCTTGACATATTTCCTCTTGTTATTCTTCTCCACTCCTCCTCCCCTTACAATCCTTCACTTCCTCTCCTCCTCCTCCTCCTCCTCCTCCTCCTCCTCCTCCTCCTCCTTGCTTGTTTTTTCATTGCCTTTTCTCTCTCTCCTCCCCCTCCTCCTCCTGCGTTCTTTCTCCCTTCCTCCTCCTCCTCCCCTTACACTCCTTCTCTTCCTCCCCTCCTCCTGCTCCTCCTCCTCCTCCTCCTCGCTTGTTTCTTCATCGCCTTTTCTTTCTCTCCTCCCCCTCCTCCCCCTCCTCCTCCTCCTCCTGTGTTCTTTCTCCCTTCCTCCTCCTCCTCCTCCTCCTCCGCTTACATTCCTTCTCTTCCTCTCCTCTTGCTGCTGCCCCTCCTCCTCCTTGCTTGTTTCTTCATCACCTTTTCTCTCTCCCCTCCCCCTCCTCCTCCTCTTCCTGCGTCCTTTCTCCCTTCCTCCTCCTCCTGCTCCTCCTTTTGTGATTGTTGTCATTTTTTTTGGGGGGGGGGTTATAGCTCCCGACAACTGGCGCCTTTGAGTTTGCTTCAGTTTTTTTGTGCTAGTGAATCTGGTCCAAAAGACGTCTAAACCTTCTGAAGACAAGTTCAATGTTCTGACAGAAAGGTTATTACAGTTTCCCTTTACAGAAAACTTCAAGACTCTCATTGAAATTTGAAATCCTAAAACTCTAAAGAGTCCCTCTAAACGCTGAATTGTAAAACCCTAAAACGGCATGAAACCCTAAAATGCTAACCCCTAAGCCCTAAGACTGTAGACCAGTCCTTCAGGACGTCCGTTGAAATTGGAATGACACAGAGAAGGGTAATTAGCATGCCCCCTGCCCAAGAATGGTCACACGCAAATATCGAGAAATCGTCCAAATAAATAAACCAAAAAAATTGAGTTAAAACTTGAAAAATAATTCTGAACCCGAAAACCCTGAAGTCTCTAGAACCCGAAACCCTAAGTGCTAAAGACTATACTCTTTAACAGTTTAACTCTTAAACCCTGACTCGTAGCCCTAAAAAGGAAAACCCTAAATTTGGCCTAAACCTTAAACCCCAAATCCTTAAACCCTAAAACCCCTTAACGGCAGAGTGGTTATCGTTGTAAAATAGCTTGTAAGTTGTAACCCTAAAGACCCTGCATCCCATCCAAATGGGGACTGTGGACGGGAGAGCAGATAGTGGCAAACCGAGAAAGATAATATATAAGGAGGACAGACGGGGAGGGTGAATGATTCGTTTGTGGGCGAGGATAAGTTGCTGTTAAGTCTGCAACCTTTGTCTGGGGCCCTGAGAGTCGGGGCATACGCACACTAGGTAGGTCTTTCTCGTGCTGCATCTGACTGATTTGAAACGTTTTTCACCTTTTTGTAGTCACAGATGCAGGCCCTAGAGTTCGATCCCTAGACCTTACCTTGCCCATGTACAGTATTGAGCTGAACCCCGAGTGTTTGAACCCGTGACCTGTGTTTTCATAGTGGGGTGTTGTCTGTCGTAGGTCTGTGTAGCTGTAGGGGTTCGATCTGTAGGTCTGTCGAGTAGGGGTCATAGCTGTGTAGAGGTCGAAACTGCTAGGCTAGAGGTCTGTAGGTGAGTCGCAGGTCCAACTCCGTTGAGTCGGCAGTGCAACCCCATGCAGTCAGTGGTACCTGTCCCAGTCGCCCTCAGTCCGGTCAAGCAAGTACCGTGTGGGACTGTACACACCAAGGGCCTGGTGGAAAGGGGCAGACCAGCGGCATACAGAAGTATAAATCAAGAAGCAGCGCGCAGCAATTCATTCATTCGCTGCGTAAGCCATGCAGAAGCGCTGCTACAGCGCCTTGTGCGAGGCGGTCTGCAGGTCGCCCGAAGTCGAAGTGGGCTGAAGAGAGACAACGTAGCCATAGTCAGTAGTAGTAGAGCGGCCGTAGCCGCTGTAGGAGGACGATAGGCTTTAGTGTGTGTGTGTGTGTAAGAGAGGGGAGCGTGTGGAGTATTCAGGGCGATCCAGAGTTGAGTATGTGCAAACGGTGGTGTTGGACACAGTGACGAGAGTTGGGTGTGCAGGTGCTGAAGAGCCATAGCTTGTTGAAGTGATTTTGCATCTGAACTGTGTTCTCGTGTTTCATATCTCTGAGCTTTGAGTGGGCGCGCTGCGCAAGTGTGAATCGCCATCTGTTTCTATGTATGAGAAGTGGAAAAGAAAGCGAGTCTGATTGCAGATTAACGATCAGGTACAGCATGAGAGCCCTGGCGTGAGTAAGTCCGTAGATCCTTGGAATGAGGTGATCTTCCTTTTCTCCATATCCACGAAACGTGTGATTACCAGGTTTTTGCCCTCCCCACTGTCAGTCTCCCTCTCCACTCTCCCCTCCTCTCTCTCCCACTCCACTCTCCCTCTTCACGCTGCCTTAAATGTTCAATTTTTCAATTTCTAATCTCTTATCCTTGCAAACATCAGTGTGGCACTTTTCTTTTGAGAGCTGAACAAAATCATCGAAATGTCATATAGTTATTAATACTTATTATAGTAGATTTTATAATTTTTATTATATATGCACTTTATTACTTTAAAGTATTTTTGTATCAATTTTCTTGATCTTTCATTAGTTTCATACTTTCACTTTGCTTTGCTAAAGCATTGATAGTAATTTGATACCTATATATGCTGTCTGCTGTTTGCTGTTTGCTTCCTCTTCTTGTTTGCCACTTTCCTAAAATGGCAAGACAGGTTTTTGTGGGTGTGAGCATCGTTGTGGGTGTATTTGCAGAACCAATCATCGATCTTAGTGCGCCTGGGTGAGTATTTACTATTTGTGGAATTTTATGCTGGAAACACTTAAAACGTTTGCCGGAAGTTTATTTTTTTCTGATTGAAATATAAGTTTTTTTTTCTTAAACTGTTTTACCAGATTTTTTTAATTCCTAATTCCTGAATCCTGATTGAAAAATGGAATTTGCATTTTTGCAAGCGTCTTTGGAATTATTTCTGATGGATTTACCTGCAGGTTTCCTGCGAGGCATACGTCCTCCCGTGCAAGGCACATGCTCACATTGCCGCAAGGTTCGAGGCTGGGTGTGGTAACTGTCAGAACCTGCACGGGACGAATGGTCGGGTTCGAATACCGTCTGGCCGTCTCGATGGGCCCGGTGTGGATCGGAGGGTTGCTCAACAGATATGTGTTTTTCCGACTTTTCGTATAGAAATTAAGTAATTACTAATTACTAATTAGGAATGCAAGTTATTCGGCGCGCTGTGGGCGATGGCCACGGCTAAGGGCTGTGGTCAGCAGTACTCAGTCTGTTCCAGGTCGCCAGTGCGCAAGCTGGGGACCGACTTGCCGTGGGCGGTTGAAAAAAAAAAACAGGAAACCATGTGGCAACATCATCTCTGGTCGTCGGTCCTTCCCACAGCCAGGCGGTACCGTGTAGGCTGAGCTGTCTTATGTGGACTGGACTGGGTGATACTACGTGGGGCGGGGGTCCTAGCATGTGGGGGGCGAGTCGTACCATGTGGACAGGGACGCACCATGTGGAATGTCGGTAGGGTTTAGGTACTATGTGGCGTCGGTCGTACTATGTCGAGTGGGGCCGTACTATGTGGAGTAAGCGGGTCCGGTGGTAATGCCAGCGATGGGCATGTGGTGCATTAGTCATTGGTTGTGTATCGTGTGGCCTGGGTGACCCCAAGCAGGTTAGATGTTACTATATGGGGTGGGTAACCAGGCCTGGGTGACACCATAGTATGACCCAGCCTATATGGGGTGGATCATGCTATTGGTGGAGACGGTGGTACCATGTTTTGCTCAGGTGATACTACGCAGGTTCGGTGCCACCACGCGGGGCGGTGCACAGTATGCAGACTCGATGGCTTCGTGGTCCGGGGTAGGTTGGATGATGCTATGTGGGATGCTCGGTACATCCGATCCAACCCCCCCCCCAAAAAAACAAAGACAAAATAAAAACAAAAACAAAAAAAAACAAGGCCATGTGGCCGAATCGGGCATCGATGAACTGCCAATAGACAGACCTATACTCAGGGCGCACCAGGACTGCCGGGGCCTGCCTGCTGCACAATTTAGGTATTAGGGTTGGAGGGGATGTCAATTCGAGCTCGCGAGCTCTGCCGGAAGGAAACCGTGGCAAAACCGCACTGGAAACCTGTGGATGGAATTAAAAAATGGGAACTGCACATGACGGACAGTTTGTCCCTTGCCTGGGCCCGTTGGGAAGCGTCTGTGACCGGGCCGGCTGCACAATTCAACTATTGGAGTCGATATGTCCTTGTGCCCCCCCCACCCCACCCCCAATTGCATTTCTAATTTTCTATGCAATGTTTCTTTCTTTCCGAGATCCTTTTTTTTTCAAACTTTTGAAAATTTCAAAAATTTGGTGAATATTCCGGACATGCATCTTCTTGCCAACCGGTATCTCGAGCCGTGGGCCCGGATTCTTCACCAAAATTCTTAAATAAGTTCGAAAAAAAAGGATGTCGGAAAGAAAGAAACATTGCATATAAATTTTTGAAACGTCAAGAGTGATCGAGAGATTCAATTTCTCGTTCAAACCATGACCACTATCCCTCGATCGAGATTCAAACAATGACCGCATTCCAGTGATCAAGAGCTCAACCATAGTTATGATCTGGATAATTAATAATTATTAGTTAGACGATTCCTGAACCATTGGACCACTCTTGAGTCTTCTGGCCATTGGCCCAATTTTCTTGCTCATTTGTCCGGGCACCGAGGGTGAAACACTCTTCAGCAGGGGGCATCTGGATCGTAACCATGGTTTGAAGTTTGGACTCTTGGTCACTGTAGATTGTGGCCAGATGTCCCGTTCTGGACACCTGGATCATAACTATGGTTTGAAGTTTGAAGTCTGGACCACTCTTACACCACCGCAGTCCCCATTCAATCAGCTGGGGGGTTCACGAGGAGGGTGAGTAGGGGGGAAGAGTGAATTACGTGGTGACCAGTCTGATGAAGAATTGTTCATGTGGTTCCCTACGGAAATCATGTGGACTCTGGGATTCCCTGTGTATTGATGGGCTTGGTGGGGTCAGTTGGGGGGCATGAACAAGGGTTGCACCTCCCTGGCTGTCAACGCCTACTGGTCGACGGGATGGCGTAAATGAGGCCAAGCTATCACACTGCAAGTACCCCATTCGGTTAGAAATGTCGAGGTATAAAGCTCATGCCTCTGGGCCTTCACAACAGCTTCACGCTTGTGTGTGTGTGTGTGTGTGTGTGCACTGTAATTTCTTGCATTTTTCACAATGATCATACTTGTTTGAGTGCCTTCCAAATTGCAGCTGTTTATGCTTCTTCTTCTTTTCTTTTCCTCGGGCCATTGCAAGGAACGACCCCATTCAAGTTTTGGATTAAGTTTGATAATTTCTGTGTATTGAATTTGTTTACTGAGCTTTGTTCCTTGTATAAAACTTGTTTTCTTTGTATCAAGCTTATTTTAACTTTGCAGCAAGTACTTCAGGATGGATCTTGTTGTGCCTTTGTGGTGACTTGCAGGTTGAAATAGTTTAAGCTTTATGTCCTGCCGGACATAACAATTCTAAGGGTTATCTAACTTGTCACCTTTTTAAAAAGTCGGAACCCCTCTCTTTCCCCCCCCCCTCCTCTCTCCCCCCCTCTCCCCCACAACTTCTCCCCCCATCACCCTTGCACTCACCTCCCATGTTTGAAAAGTGAGTGAGCAATATATTTTACGTCTTTGTGCATCTTTCCCTGAATGCAGTGCACATTCATCGCGACTGGTTACCGGACCAGTTCTGGCTTGCGATAGCTTGTGTTCGTTTCATGAGTAGGGTGTGTGTTCTGTTCGGGCGGAAGAGACTATGTACTATGTAGTATTGTGGCCATGTTTTGTTTTGCTTAAAATTGCTGGATTTTTCTCCTGTGGTGAATTCCCTGTGTTGTATGCTTTATGGTTCCACACAGCTTGTTTACCGCACATGCGTCAAACGGTCTGTTGACTCGGAACATTGCAATATCCCAGGTGAGATACTGTCTGAAGCTTTTTATATTATTATTATTATTATTATTATTATTATTATTATTATTATTAGATTTATTACTATTATTTTAGGGTTAATAAGCTCAACCGGTCAAACATTTCATGAGCGGTTGTTTCGCAAACTATTTATTTTTCATGTGCTGGGCCCTGCTGGCATTACTCGTTTGATTGAATGATTTTTTGAATTTTTTTCCCTCTGTTTTCTTTGCCTTGCCCCCCCGTGCCCCCTGTCTCTCTTAGCAATGCCCCCTCTCTGACTTGTTGTCGAAGCATGGGTACAACGGATTGGGGCAGAGAGCGGATAAAAGAGAGGAGAGGGGTAATTCTCTAATATAGAAGGGGGAGGGAGGGGCAAGTCTGAAGTAAAAGGGCCTTCACCCGATTCAGACCCTATTCGACAAATGCAGCATAGAGGGGTCACTCGCCCAGTATCCAAAACGTGAAAGCAGATCAAAGGTCAAGTTCTCTGGTCAAAGGGCACATCCAAACTAAAGCAAGAAGTCATTGCCAAAGGTCATGTTTGAACCCTGGACGAACAGTCACCATTTGAAGGTCATACCTGTTCGCCAGGGAAGGTGCATGTCATGTCTGTTCATGTAGGGATGTGTCTGTACGTGCAGCCAGTGTGTCTGTTCGTGCAAAAAGAGAGTGTCTATTCACACAATGTAGATGTCTGTTCAGGCAGTAGGTGTGTCTGCTCGTCCTGAAGTTGTGTCTGTTTAGAGATAATGTCAACAAACAAAGTCCCAGCTCTGGTCTAAGTCGGGTAGGCAGTCCAGATCCAGACATTCAAGTCCAAAATTCAGGACGAATGGCCTCAGCAGCAGCAGACCTCATTGGGACAGTACTGGGACACATGCAATGCAGGGTCTGGGACAAAGGATGGCCTGAACGTGCCAATGCAGACCCAACACAAGGAGGCCAGTACTATAAAGAGAAGGCCAGCCTCACTTGCAGGCAGATTCCAACTGGCTTCAACGCGTGGAAGTACTGTTGTGCTTGTGCGCTAGTCAGGAGGCAGTAGCGCTGGAGGACTGCAGATGCGCTGAGGGGAAGAGAAGCTGGGCGCTGGGAAGGAGAAGCAGCCATAGCTGCCCAGCGAGTTAGTAGTAGGATAGAGGGTTAGTAAGTAGTCTTCTATGAGTTGCATTCAGAGTAGATCCTCGCAGGAGGAAGAAGAGTGAGCATGTGTAGTAGGAGGAAGGGACTGAGACCAGAGTGCGCACGAGGGATTTGGCTATGGTGGACACTTACCCGAGTTGTGTGTGTAATCTGCTGAGGTGGCGTGGATGTGTGAAGGCCACATTGATAAGTTGGACGTGAGATTTGTACAGCGCTGGTTGGCGCTTGAACTCAGGGACTTTTGTAATCATGATATTGATAATATAAGTTGCGCAACTTGGTTCTCCTCTTATCTCTTCCTTGTCAAGTGTGTGGAGACCTCTGCTCAAGGTGGTTGATGACAATGCATGCTGTGTGAACACTCTTACGTGATTTGGTCCCCAGGACCCATGCAGAAGCATGACTACACCACAAAGGTCCTCCTCGTCTTCACTTCAACAAACGCCTTGAAAATGCACAAAGGCCTCATCGTCACTTCATCAAATCCCTTTTGACGGTTTGACTGTTTGACGATTTAATCCGAACCCCCGGATGAGCACTCTGTGTCCAGATAAACGAGATGTCAAGAGGCCCATGCAATTTCATCCAAACAAATGTTTTCAATTATTATTCTCAATATTTTGAAGTTTCGGTAAAGAACAAATACAATAATCTGGGAAAGTTTTGCTGGGTATAAAATTCTATAAATTCTTATAAAATTACTGATAAACTAGGCTACCAGCCGGGCCGCCCGGGTCCCGGACGGCCAGCCCGTGCAAGGACCAGGGAAGGTCCCAGCAAAAAAAAAACAAAAAAAAAACTATGTTATGCAGAAAAATAAACTGAACAACTTTTGCCTCAGGGTCACATCGAAATTCTTCACCAAATTTAAAATAAAAATTAAAATTTAAAAATATTGTTTTATTTTTATTTTTTTTGGCCCGGCGGGGCAAGTGACCCCGGGCCACTCTGGTAGTCTAGCTGATAAAATTATAAATAGTAAATAGTAAATTGTAAATACTAAATACTACGTGCATGTGGTTAATCGGAGTTGTTTTTTTTTCCGCCGAATGTTGCACTGAAACTGTCGTATTGCCCTGATTTTTTACTCTTTTTTGAAGTTTTTTCCTGTTTTTCTTTGTGTGCGATATGTTGGCGCTTTAGGGTACATCGTGTGTCCAGTTTCGACATATTTGGATCATTAATGAAAAAAAGTTCGCATTTCCTTTGTTTTCGAAATTTTCGCTGAAGTTTGCACCGAAACCGGTGAAAACAGCAAATTTTCGTCCCTCCGTTAACCGCGCGTCCAAAATTACTATATTAGATATGCTTGAGAAAACAATTTACCTATCTGTGGATGATGCTTTTCTTGCTGCGTGTTTTTCTTACCAGCTCAGGATTATGGCTCCTTGTGCACTGCTGGCCCCTCTCATTGGTATTGGCTTTGGCAGCCTCAGGTATGAAACAAAATTAATCAATTTAATCCATTTCAATGAAAAGTGGGAAATAAAAATTTTCAAAGTGCATACACGAGGACGTCATGATGTAAAACACTAGAAAGTTGTTTTCCCATTTCTTTTCTGGTGGCTTGTGCATCTTTGGCTCTTCCAATTGGTAGCGGCTACTGGCTTTGTCGGTGTCTCGTTCGGAATGGAACCACCTGTTTGTGAGTGGTGCAGTTTTTCCCCTCCTTCCCCCAATTCCTCCCTTGCCCCTCCTCCCCTCCCTCCCCTGCAACCCCTCCCCTCCTTTCCCCCCCTCCCGCCGCCGGAGATTGTGGCCCTTACTTGATGTTCTGTAATTAGACAGAATTTTGATCCCTTATTCAGAAGTTATTCTGCATCATCAATTCTTGGGTTTGTGTCACTCTGCGAGTTATCGACTTGTCAAAGTTTACGAGTGATTGTGACCTGTTAAGTGCTATAGATTGTCACAGTAAGGGGGGGCGATACATATAGCCGGTATTAGCCGCGGGAAAAAAAAAAAAAAAAAAAAAAAAAAAAAAAAAAAA